CATGTATCCAATTATGAATAATCTGCTATGAGCTTATTTATTTTTGTATTTTAGGGACGGGTCTACAGGGCATTCAGGGTTTCACTACTAGATCAGACTTGTAGTGATCCACCTGTTCACAGCCTCCCAAGAGCTGGGATTACAGGTGCGCAGGTACACGCCACCACATCCAGTATCAATTGCTGTGCTATCTCAATGTGCCCTGGGGGTAAGGCCCACAGGCAGGCCTGGGGATCGAACCCCTGGCCCCTGAACCTGCTTGCAGGCACTTTAACCGACTGAGCTATTTGGCTGGCCCGTTACAGCTTTAAATTTTTAAACTTTCCAGCATTCTGATTATACTTTATGTGTTTCAGAGAGGCAGGCTTTAGGATCAAGAATCAGCTGTGATCATCAGAACTGAAAGAAGCTTAGAACTTTGTCAACTTTATTCATTTTGTTGATGTGAAAATTGAGGCCCAGAGAGAAACTGGGGTATAACTGTATAATACAAGAACAGCCAGAGGCCAGGGATATAGCTCAGCAACATAAGTGCCTGCCTAGCAAGCACAAAGTCCTGAGTTTGATTCCTGGTACCAGGAAAAAAATAATAATCAGGAATTGAAATATACCTGAACTCTTATTTTCCCCACTTAATTTTATAGAAAATTGCTCAAAATTAGGCCTCAAATCATGAACCACAAATAACATTTACATCTAACATGTACTGGTAAATGCAACAGTCTACTGAACAGCCAGGCCACAAATTATCAGGATATCAGGGAACAAATTCAAAAAGCAAATCTGAAAAAAGGCAAATGGAATATTATTAGTATCTTCATATAAAGATATGACAATATGTGTATCATTACCAGCAAAACCTCAAAGACTAAAATGTAATTATTTTTGTTTTAGGATTTAAAGTGACTCATAAGATTTATAATGACTAACAGATATTATTAAGGTCAGTCTTTACCTTTAACACAGGTTCAGTTGTCTGGTGACCATAGTCCAGAATACGCCTTTGTCTATTCTCAAAACATCTAGAGTTCTTACTATCTACTTGTTTCTTAATATTTTTTTCAGATTAGAAAAGCTAGGAGACAAATGATCACTATAGTCTCCCCAGGAAAATGCACACAGTAACACACATAATTTTACAAACAATTTCAATGAGTTTGAGAAGTACATACAACGGCTGGCCAGATAGCTCAGTGGATTACAGCACCTGATTAGGTTCATCCCTGGCATGCAGTGCCGGCCCTGCCCCCTGGAGCATGCTGAGCCAGCAGGGGCAGCAATTGAGACTGGGCATGGTAGCACATGCCTGTAATCGCAGCACTTGGGATGTTGAAAACAGGAGGATCACTACATGTCCAATCTGTAGTGAGACCCTGTAAACCCTGTACTAAATACAAAAAAAAGAAGTACATACAAAAATATCAAGAATCAACAGTTGTAGCATTCATCTGAGTTAGTATGTGCTATTTTATATTGCTATTTACCTCCACCTGTGCATGCTCTGGCTCCATTAGATCTAAAGCTGCTCAAAGTTGAGAAAAGAATTATAACTCTTGTGTATCCACAACATGAGTAAATCATTTAGCCTATAGTAAAGACTTAAATATATATCAATTATTAACTATTAATAGAAATCCATTTGTTCATTTTGTGCTATAAGGCTAGTGCTATCTAAGGAAACGAGGAATGGAAGATAATAAGACACCTTCTTCCAGGAACTACATACTAATTATAGATATGTAAAAATGAGGTTAAAATGGAGGAGAAAACATGTGGGAAGGAATACGGAAAAGAAACTGGGGGGAAAGAAACTATTGGATTCCTAGCTTTTAACAGAGCTGGGAGGTTAAAAAATTTAGGAAACAGAAAGCTTCATATAAAGCAATTATACCTTGAACTAATTAAACAACAAAATGAGTCATGAGTTAATTAGCAAAGGAGTAATAACATACTGAAGAAAACAAATTAGCAGCACCATGGGCCGGGGAGCATCTCTTATTGATCTATTTTTTCACTTCTCTGATTAGCTAACCCTAGATTCCAAATAAGTTCTGTAAATAAACAATTATATACTTGTATAACACCAACACGAATATGTCACAAAAATATATTTGACAATTCAAGTTCTCAAAAGTAAAATTTCGGGTGTGGTGGCACACGCCTGTAATATGAGTACTGGGGAGGCTGAAAACAGGAGGATCACTATGAGTCTGACGTGCATAGTGAGACCCTGTACCAAATATATAATTTACCATAACCCACAATAGTAAATTGTTCAACTGTTCAAAAACAGAAGTCCAAATCACCATGATAAGTAAATTATGTTAGCATGTTTTGCCTTATATACAACAAGGAAATTTAGCATATCAGTAAGGAGAAAAATGCTCCTCAAGTTTTCATTCAAGTTACTTAGTTCAAGTCAGACAGGTCTGATTCCATGTCATTCTTTCTTGCAGTAATGCAAGGATAAAATCTGCATTCTACCCTAAGGAAGCTGAAGTAATCACAACCAGATGGTACAAATCAATTTAAACCTTTTCACTTCGTCTGGTAGGCTGGAGATGACTTCATTTTTGTTAGGTATTAAACTTGATAAAATACCATTTACACTGATGATAGACAAGCATACTTTTTTTTTCTGTTTTTTTTTTTTTTTTGGTACCAGGACGCGAACTCTGAGCCTCACGCTTGCTAGGCAAGGCACTGCGCTGCTGAGCTACAAACCCCAGCCCCAACAAGCATATTATTCAACGACAGAAAATAACCAGTTATCTTTTCACTAGAAATCAAATACAGACTTAGGTATGGCAAAAATAAACTGCACTACCAGAGCACAAATGCACTTTTTTAACTATAACCTCAAATATTTTCAAAATTCTGAAAGAGAAGACGATTTAAACACTACTTCCTCATACTTTACAGTATAGCAGGCACTTCTGTTTCATATTATCTTTAAAATAGCTTAATAAGGTTGGCAGGTCAGTTTCTGTGTCGTACAGATGAGTCAACTTTGCATGACAGGCTACATGACTCACCTAAGTCAAGGGATTTCTTAAGAGGAACTGGAATTAAAAAATGATCTCACAGCCCAGTGCTTTTTATGTAGTACAACCACACTTCTTTTACTGTGTTTTGAACTGCGGGGCCTATTCAGTCATTTACTCTGTCCCTGAAATGATTTATCTGTACCCCTCCTCAAATGTTCACATTTTATTCTTGGTTTATCTTGGCCCATCCAGCACATAATATAATATAACAATATTCGCAGCATGAATTATATAATTTAATCCTTTCACCAAAAACCTTTTCTGTATTTCAGGCTTACAGACCAATGAAGCCCAAATGGCTTTAACATGAGCCATCAAGCTACTATTACCCGCATTTTACCAATTTGCTCTGTTCAAAGGCAAGACACTCTATGTTTTTCTAATGCCAACCTCTGGAAAGAGAAATTTCAGCAACAGGGAGATCCTCTAATGGCAACGCCAGCTGTGGGAAAACAATTTCATCCTTCTCCTGGGCTTTACACAGCTTATTTCTTAAGACAGGACAAAGGTATAAGTGATTACTTCCATAGCTTTAAAGAACTGTACGTTTCATGTGGTAAATCCATACGCCAGCAAGCAATCATCTCAGTTTGGAAGACTAATGATAGGCATACCTTACTATCCAGTCACCCCAACCTAGCAAAAGGAACAACTGCAGTTAGCCAAAAGCTAGCTATAGTAGTACTGTATTCAAAAACCTACACTTGCACACCAAACCTTTGCCAAACCTGTGCCACCTTGCCACGGTTCGCGCACCATTCCACACCAGTGTCCAAAGGACGGACCCGGGACCGCAGTGTCAGGAAGGCGAGGCTCGTGCTCAGGCGTCTGAAATCAGCCTGCGACTCCCTTCTCCCTTCCCAAAGCAGATCCACTGCCCCTGCCTCACCTGGCTGTCGCTACCATAAAATAGAAACAAAACAAACATACAAATAACTAAAAAGGCAAAAAGCAAGCTGCCGAGCCTACCAATTCACACAAGCGCCCTCGTTCCTCCACAACCGAGTCCACAAAAATTCCCAGCGAGCGCCGCCCCGAGGCCTACTCCCACCCTCGGCGCTCGCTCGCCAGCCCCGCAGCTCCTCCATCGGCCGCGAAAGGATACTCTCCATGTTCGACATGGCTCCGGGATTCTTCGCGGGGAGCGATCCGGGAGCGGCGAGACGACTCCACCGGCTGGACCGAAGGGCACCGAGAGAACTGGAGCAGCGCGCTCGGCTGTCCAGACAGTGCAGCCCCACTTCCTGCTTCTGGCGCCCGCGGGCGGGAGGCGGAGCCCTGTGCACGGGGGTGGGGCAGCATGGCCGCCCCAAGGCCTCATGGCTGCTTGCGCGCCGCGGCCGCTAGGGGGCAGTGTGGGGCTCTAGGACGGCAGTTTAAGCCTTCCCTCCTGGGCCCCCTACGGGCTCCTGATTGAACGCGGAGCCCTATGGTTTTCCACAACTTTCTAGTTCTTCTCCGTGTCATGCACCCCTAGCGGTTTGGAACCTTTTTCGCTTCTTCCCGCCGCGCTCTTGCTCTGGCCGCTCTCGGACTGTCGGAGACTACATTTAAACGGACGAAGGAAAAAGGTACACGGTTTAAGTACTTTTAAAAAATGGTAACGATGAAATAAGGGTTTAGAGGTTTAGTGCGGTTGCTCAGTTGAAATTGTGACCATCAATTGGGGTTTTAGAAAGGATCGTGAGCCGTAGCTTTAGGTTGAAATGAAAAAATGGAAGGCTAGTCCTAGGAGTTAATGGTTTTTAAGAAGTATATGTTCATACTTTTCTATATGTATATGTATATATATGTATTAATGCAGACACTGTAAAATATGAAAATTACTATGAAATCTGTCTAAATTAATGCGTGAGACGTTAATCGAAATAGTACGTAATTGTTGGCATTTTATACGTGACATGAAAATGACCGAAGTATTTTGTTACACGCTGCTGTCGGGATTAGGGAAGAGATCTTTGCCATAACCGTCCATGCTGTTCAGTTTACAGCTCTTGGAGCAGTTTGCAAACAAATTAGCGTAAATTGTCCTCGTCGTCGTCGTTGTCTTTTTTTTTTGTTTGTTTCGTGAAACGGTCTCGCTGGTCGGTTCAACTGTCGGTGCTTTTCAGTTTACAGCTCTTCGAGATTTCAGAGAAATAAGAGCGGTTTGCAAACAAATTAGCATAAATCATCGTCTTTTTTTCTGTTTCATGAAACGGTCTCGCTAGACGGTTCAAGCATCCGTGCTGTTCAGCTTACAGCTCTTCGAGCAATTTGCAAACAAATTAGCGTAAGTCGTCCTCGTCGTCGTAGTCGTCTCTTTTTTTTTGTTTGTTTGTTTGTTTCGTGAAACGGTCTCGCTGGTCGGTTCAACTGTCGGTGCTTTTCAGTTTACAGCTCTTCGAGATTTCAGAGAAATAAGAGCAGTTTGGAAAATAGTGTAAGTTTTCCTTTTTTTTTGTTCTTTTCTGTTAGACATGCTCTCGCTAAACAGTTCAAACGTCGGCATCTTTAAAATGTCGAAAATAACAGCGGTTTAGGAAAATTTAGTGTAAATCATCTTTTTTTGTCTGTTTCATGAAATGGTCGCACTATATGGTTCCAACATCGGTGCTTTTCAGTTTACAGCTCTTCGAGATTTTGTAGAAATAAGAGCTTTCTTTTTAAATTGTATTTAGGATAGCATCCACAGGTTCTCACTCGTTTATTGGATTTCTTGCGATTCTCCTGTTTTCAGGCGCTAGCCACCACACCTCGTGTCAATCCCGGGCGCAGCGCGCCCCACGCGCAGTGCCAGCACGGCAGACTTGGGGATCAAATCCCGGCACGCTGCGCTCTGCCTAAGTAGGCACTGCAGTCCACTGAGCTATGTGGCCGGCCCTTAAGAGCGGTTTAGGAAAAAAAATTTAATATGGACGTCTTTCTTTGGTCTTTTTTCTGAGACGGTCTGCTATACAGTTCAGTTGATGCTTTACAGTTTACAGCTCTTTGAGATTTTGTAGAAGTAAGAGTTTGGAAGAAAAATAGTGTAAACTTTTTTTTCTCTTTCTCCTTTTTGTGACTTAGTCTTGCTATACGGTTCAAGTGTTGGTATTTTTCAGTTTACATCTCTTCCAGATTTTGGAGAAATAAGAGTAGTTTGGAGAAAATTAGTATAATATGTCTCTGTCTTTTTGTTGATTTATTTTTTGGAGACAGTCTCACTATGCAGTTCAGAGTGGCCTTGAGCTCATGTATAACCCAGGTTGGTCTTGAATTTTTGAGGATCCTCCTGCTTCAGCCTCCCCAGTGCTGGCATTACAGGTATACACCTCCATGCCCAGCTAGTGTGAGTCTTTTAGAATAGAATTTATGAAGTTTGAGTTTAAATTTTTTCTCATCTTTAATGTGAGAAAAATATATAATTTTAATTATATAATAATTTTAATTTTATTCTTGGGCTATTGTTTTCTTTCAAGAAAAATGGTTCTGGCCAGGCACAGTTACTCATGCCTGTAATTCCAGCACTGGATATACTGAGGCACAAGGATCACTGTGAGTTTGAGGCTGACCTGGACTACAAAACAAGCTCCTTTATTTCAAAAAGGGAGTTGGGGTGTGCTAAAGCTACTTGTTTATGCTCTTGCATTGATGATGATTGGTGATAGGCTTCTGTTACCTAATTATGAGCTTGTAATGTTCTCAAGAAAAGAAAACTCTCTGAGTATAGGTTCTTGCAAATTACAGTCTAAGAAATCACTTTCATGGGTGAAACTGTGTAAATATAACTTTTATTTTTTAATCACATATTTGAAAAACAAGACTTACTTTATAGAAACATAAAGCTTACCAGATTTCATCATTCTTTAATCAGTTTTCATATTAGAAAAACAACTGCATTTCACTGTTAAAAACTTCTCTTATATATCTTTTTTAAAAACTTTTACTTTGCTCTTTATTTATACTTTGAGATTCTTGTATAACAGAAACCATGCAATATTTCACTTCTGTGTCTGATTTATTTCACTTAACATAATGGTCTCAAGGTACATCCATTTTCCTATAAATGACTCAAATTTATAATTTTTATTAGCAGAGTGCTACTCATTGTGTATAAATACCACATTTTCTTTATCCATTCATCTATGAATAAACATATAGGCCGCTTGCAAGATTTAGCTGCTATAAACATGGATCACTACAGGATGATGTTTAATTCTTTCAGGAAGATACAGAGAAGAGAAATACCTAGATATTTTTAGTTTTTTTGAGGAATCTCCATACTGAGTTCTGTAGTGGTTGGACTAGTTTACACTCCCACCAACAAGATAAAAGAGTTCCCTTCTCCACACAGCCTTGCCAGCATTTATTATTATCTAATTTCTCAATAATAGCCATTCCTTTTGTAGTAAGGCAGAATCTCACTGTTGTTTTAATTTGTATTCCTCTAATGATAGGAGATGTTCAAGATGTTTTTCATGTATTTATTAGTCATTTATACTAAAACCGCATGGATGGTTTAGTCTAACCCTGCAATATGGCACACAAACGCAAAAGAAATGCAAAAAAAAAATTCTGCAGCGGAGGAGCTCTGATATAACTCAGAGTTCTCTGTGGAACAAAAGGCCACAAGTCTGAAAGCTCATGGCTTTTTTTTCCATAATTTTATTGAGAAACAAATAGCAATGAGACAAAAAGCAGAAGGATTTTTTTTTTTTTTGCTCCGAATGCCTTCAGGGCAGGTTTTGCTGGCTTGAGTTGTGGGGATCGAACCATAGCAACCTTTGGTGTTTTTTGGGGGGGGTTGTTTTTTTGTTTTTTGGGTTTTTTTGGGCAGAACCGGGGATTGAACTCAGACCCTTGCACTTGCCAGGAAAGCGCTTATTTCACTGAGCCATCTCTCCGGGGTTGAAGCAGCTGCTTAAAGAACTGAGCTAAGGGGGCAGGCCCCCAGCTCATGGCTTTTATTGGCTTCAATTAGGGAGGTGGGTGGTGGTCACAGCCGAATGCTAGGGAAGAGATTTTTGCAGGCCTTGACTATCAGGAGAAACAGTAGTTCTGTACCAGGCACAGAGGCTCTCTAGTTGGCAAAGCTGATGCATGCAAGGCTAGCTCCTTTACTGCCAGGAAGGTACAATTGTTTTTTTTAGCACCATGCTGAGACTTATCTCATGCCTTAGCCCTGGAATCTTACAGGCTCTTGCTCAAGCCCCTAGTCCAGCCATCAGTGGCGGGGGGGCAGTTGTCGACTCATGCAGCAGTGAAACACATTGGCGTTTTGGCCTCAGTCACATTCTTTTATCCAATGAAGGAAACACCTTGTTCAATATAGCCAGCTCTGCATATCTCAGTTAATAGGGTTAAAGTAAAGGTCAAGGAAAGATGGAGGCAAGGGGCTTCATTTCTCAGGAGAACAAAACTTCGCAGTCTCCAACAATTTTTATGTTTTTCTTCTAAGTCATGTCTATTCATTTTATTTGCTCATTTTTTGTTTGTTTGTTTCTCATTGGGGAGGCTCTAACTTTTTGAGTGCTGTGAGTATTCTAGTTTTTAGAATATATCTCTTCTGTCTGAGGAGTAATTGACAAATATTTTTCCCATTCTGTAAGCTACCTCTTCATTCTACACTTTTTTTTTGTGGCTGGCTCAGCTCACCCTGGGAATAGGATTGGCATGGCATGTGATGCTAGGGATCAAACTGCAGTCCCTGAGTACTTGCCTAAGCTTGCCTAAGTGGGTGCATTAGATGGCTAAGCTATCTCACTGGCCTGGCTATCTCTTCATTCTATTGGCTATTTACTTTACTGTGTGGAAAATTTTAAAATTTGATATAACCTCATTTATTAATTTGAGATTGTTTGTACAATTTGTTGATTATATTTGTGTAGTTGGTTTTCCATTCAGGAAATCTTTGCTTATGCCCATGTCTTCAACAGTTTTACCTAAGGCTGCAGAGATAGCTCAGTGGTCTAAGCACCTGCCTCGGCAAGCGCAAGGACCCAGGTTCAATCCCCGGTACCAGATGCCATGCCAGCCCCACCCCAAGCATGCCAAACTGACCACCAAGACTGGGCATGGTGGTGTACACCTGTAATCCCAGCAGCGGGAAGGCTGAAACAGGAGGATCACTATGAGTTTGAGCTTCATAGTGAGCCCCTGCACCAAATACATAAACATTTTTAAAAATAGATGTACCTCTTTTATTTTCCAAAAATTCATTAATATTTAGATTTAGGTCCATTTTTATTTTAGTTTAGTGCATGGTGAGATATATGGGTCTAGGTTCAAAC